TTTGAGATTTTATCCTAAAAGACGTTTGTTTGCAGGGGGATGAAAGGAGGATGCGGTGGAGAGTATTTGTTCTGGGTGCAATAAATGTTTGAGAAAGTTAACCTGAATAGAGAACAGATCAAGAAGAGACAAACAGATTTGGAACTGATTGATTTACTATTAGCTTGATATTTGATTTCTACACTTGAACATTCTCTTACTTCTTTGAGACCAATGCAAGTTCTTTGAAGGAATCACTGAATGCTTGTCTCACTTGTTTGTTTCTCAGAGTGTAAATGAATGGATTCAACATGGGAGCAATGGATGTCATCAGCACTGTCACACCCTTGTTAATATCCACAGATTCCTTTGCTGAAGGTTTGACATAGATGAAGATACAGCTTCCGTAGGTGATGGAAACCACAGTCATGTGAGAAGAGCAGGTGGAAAAGGCCCTTTTCCTTTGCTGGGCAGAGGGGAATCTGAGAATAGTGATGATGATGAAGATATAGGAAAGAACAACACACAGAAGGGTTGGGATGAAGGTCATTACAGCACAGACTATGACCATCTGCTCTATGTGCCATGTGTCTGAGCAAGAAATCTTCAAGATAGGAGATGAATCACAGAAAAAGTGATCAATGACATTTGAGTCACAGAATTTCAAATTTATAAATTGTGTAAGTGGTGGAAGTATGATCAATAAGCCAGCCATCCAACAGCAGAGGACAAGTCTCCTGCAGACTGGGCTGCTCATGATGGTCACATAATTCAGGGGTTTGCAGATGGCCACATAGCGGTCATAGGACATGATGGCCAGAAGAAAAAATTCTGTTACTCCAAAGACATCAATAAAAAATGCTTGAAGGAGACAAACACTATAAGTAATTGACCTGTCACATGTTGCTATGTTATACAAATACCTAGGAATACAAGCAGATATAAATGAAATTTCTAATAAGGCAAAATTCTGTAGGAAAAAGTACATGGGTGTTTTAAGGTGGAAGTCCATCACAGTGAGAAATATGATGGTCAGATTTCCAGTTATACTTATTATGTAAGTGAGAAATAGAAAAACAAAAATAGGAATCTGAAGTTGAGGGTCATCAGTCAGTCCCAACAGGATGAAGGTTGTTATTGTGTGGTTTCTCATCACTGACTACTGAATTTTATTCAATCTTAATGTAAAATTTAGAGGTATTTTCCTTGAGTAGAGTGATTTCAAGCCAGATAGCAATAACCAGTTGCACTTAGAGCAAACTAAATTCACACTTAGTTTCTTCTGTAAGTAGTGATTGATATTGCTTTCGTATAACTTCGTATAATGTATGCTATACGAAGTTATTACGGAATACTCACAATTTGGATGTTAGAGTGCTTGTCACTATAAGTAATTGACCTGTCACATGTTGCTATGTTATACAAATACCTAGGAATACAAGCAGATATAAATGAAATTTCTAATAAGGCAAAATTCTGTAGGAAAAAGTACATGGGTGTTTTAAGGTGGAAGTCCATCACAGTGAGAAATATGATGGTCAGATTTCCAGTTATACTTATTATGTAAGTGAGAAATAGAAAAACAAAAATAGGAATCTGAAGTTGAGGGTCATCAGTCAGTCCCAACAGGATGAAGGTTGTTATTGTGTGGTTTCTCATCACTGACTACTGAATTTTATTCAATCTTAATGTAAAATTTAGAGGTATTTTCCTTGAGTAGAGTGATTTCAAACCAGATAGCAATAACCAATTGCACTTAGAGCAAACTAAATTCACTCATAGTTTCTTCTGTAAGTAGTGATTGACGTTGCCTACACTCTAGTGGGCTTGGCTACTCAATTGATTTTTATTGTTTTGATAGTTTGTGATAGATTTTTAAACATACTTCTAAAATATGTTCTACCATCCCAATTTCCTCCTTTATTTCACATTTGTAATCTATATCCTGCTGGATATTCACATGTTATTAGATTGGACCCATAATGTGTTGTGATTCAACAAAATTGTGATTTCTTTCTATGTCTAAGATCTCTTCTGTCTTTTAAAGGTGAATATTTAAATGTAATCATTTTTCATGTCTTTCCTAGATGATTTGGTCCTTGATAAAATGTAAATATGTAACAACTAATGTGGGCTGCATGCACAGGCTTTGTTGATCCATTTGCAGCTTGCAATATTTTACCACCATGATTAAGCATGCGTTTATGTTTTCTTTTGGGTTTTAAAAAGGAACTTCCACATTGTTGGCTCACTTCTGTGACTCTCCTTACCCTTCTCTGCTTGTATGTAATAGATTCTCAGCATTCATTGGGATACACAATGCAGGGAGTATTTTAATGTACAATTTATTTGCCACATGCGAAGCAATGTTTGGTCCAAGGATATACAGCTGAAAAAAAACACAAAAACCACATATTTCTTTGGTGCGTTGTCTCTTTAGTTAAGTATGAGCAATACTCTAACAATACTTGCTAATATTTACTATCGGTATTGTGAAGTTCAAGATCAAATTTGAAATACTGAGTAGGTATTGTGAAGTTCAAGATCAAATTTGAAATACTGAGTATACTCTTCAGCACTTCCTGTGTGCACCTACCTATTTGTGATTTCCAGTTTGAGCATCACTTCTACTGGAAAGTCTTCTAAAACTTTGTTGTCTGTTGGCTGTTCCTCATTTGAGCTACCATGACAAGTAATTATTTCCATTTTAGCACTTCCTCTGAGAAAATAAGTTTGTTGAAATCGGGGGCTGCTGTCTTTTTTTTTTTTTTAACCAGGATAGCTACCCAAATAACACAATCGTAGACTTCTAGGGTATGTGTAAGAAATATTTTTGCGTAAATACGTACATATCTAATTAATTGGCTTGTTCCTTCCAGCTTCCATCCTATTTGATTTTCATCTTGAGACTGCTTTGTCACTGAGTTTAATTATTTAAATTTTGTATGCCCGTCTATTTAACATTTATATATATATATATATATATATATATATATTTTGCATCTGAAACATAAGTTTTGCTAGTGAATAAAGTCTCAATATGAAAGCATTACTCTCTCTGTTTATTTCCTTCCATGATGACCAAACTGTTAACTGGCCTCTACTTCTTCCTTATGCTCTCAAGCAGTAAATAGTTGTATCTTTGTTGGCTGTGATATTTGCTTTCTTCAGGAATCTTAGTAAAATATTCAAAACAGAGGTCAAGAAATGTGCATATCTTGATTCGTAAGTTTTACATGTTATTCATCTTTTTTGATGGTTTGTAAATTGTTTTTATTTCTTTTTACTTTTCTTTACGTTTTCTTGTGTAGATGCTTTACAATGAACACTAGTCTTATTAGAAAAAAGCAATTTTCATTAAGAAAAAAGAATGCTTGAACACATAACAACCAACTTGGCTCAATAATATTGATTAATATGACTAAACACGTTATTCTGGCTTATACATACTTTAAAAATATCTTCCTTAATAATTTAACAGTTAAAAAAATCCAAACAAAGGAGGAAAAGGATGGATGCTTCTGAGGCAGGAAGGAATCAACAACTATACGTGTTGCTGAATCGTTTCCTTATGATCCCTTCTTACTCAGATCTTTTATTCCTTTATAAATGGTGACCTAAAATGAATTGTTAGTCCTTAGAAAAGCTATGAGCAAGACAGGTCCAGAGGGAACAGAGCAGACAGCTAGAGGGACAGAGGAAGCTCACCAACTGTTCTGAGGGTCAGTGGAGACAATCCAAGGAAAAATTAGATCAGAGCTGTGAAATGTAGAAAGTAGCTGCAGAGGGCTGGATTTAACATGATATTCATCTTAAATCATATTGTATATATATTTTTAAGCCCTTAGTGCACTTAATTTTATTCTGTTTAATTTCAAAACACTGTTATTTGTGTAACCGGTTTTAAATCCCCCTTTTAAAAAAATCTTTTTTAAAAAAAATAATAAGTATGTGACGTGATGGATATGTTAATTAATTTTATCATTTTACAATGCATGCGCATATCAAAACATCACATTGTATACCATAAACGTAGACCATTTTTATCTGTGAATAAAAAAGAGCCCTTTAAAAGGATAATGAAATATATGTTCTTTCTTGATCCCTATTTTATTGGTTATTTCTACATCCAGTGTTTAACATCCTTGGGCTATGGAACCAGGGTTATCGGCTCATGTTTTTCTACTACATTTGGACCCTGTATATTCTCATCTATGGAAAGGACATGATAATACTTATTGTCTTAGTCTGTTTGTGCTGTTATAACAAAATATTACAAACTGGGCAATTTTTAAAATAAAACCACAAATTTATTTTCTAACAGTTCTGGAGGCTGGGATGTCAAATATCAAAACACTGGCAGGTCCAGTTGTTTGTTGAAAGCTGTTGCTCACTTCAAAGAAGGAGCCTTGATGTGCATCCTTCACAGGGAAGAACTCTGTGTGTCTCACTTGGCGGAAGGCAAAAGGCCAAGGGAGCCTGATGATGCATGAAGCCTCTTATGAGGCTTTAATCCAATTCATGAAGGAGGATCCCTTATGGTGTAATTGCTTTTTAAATACCCCACCTTTTAATACTATCACATTGGCAACCTATATTTTGGAGAATACATATGCAAGTCATAGCACCTGTCTTGTCTTATTTGTGGGTTTAATAATGAGTAAGTGATGATATATGCAAATAATATGAAAAATGTAGCATAAAATAGAAATCTGATTTGCTTCATTATAATTGATAATGATGGGGTAACAGAATTCAACGTTTTTCAATTTTATTTATGTTTATTTTTGTGGGGTACAGTGTGTTGTTTCAATATTCATACACTGCACAATGAATCACTTAGGGTAGATAGTATAGCATTTTACCCATTAGTCCACCCTTTCTCCTCCCCCAACACCTCTCTCCTTCCAGCCTCTGGTAACCATTATTCCACCCATTACTTCTGTGAGAACCACTTTTCTTTTTTTTTTAGATCCCACGTATGAGTGAGACCATGTGGAATTTATCTTTCTGTGCCTGCCATACTTCATTTAACGTGATGGTTTCCAGCTCCATCCATGTTTCTGCAAATGAGAGGATATCATTTCTTTTTATAGTTGAATAGTATTCCATTGTGTATATACATCACAGTTAAAAGAAAAAATAGAGAGCCCAGTAACAAAGTTATGCCTTTACAGCCAACTTATTTTTTGACAATGGTGTCAAGAATATTCAGTGGGGAAAAGACAGCATCTTCAATAAGTGGTGCTGAGGAAACTGGATATCCACATGCAAAGATTGGAACTAGACTCCTATCCCTCAGCATACAGAAAAATAAACTCAAAATGGATTAAAGCCTTAACTTAAGACCTGAAACTGTGAAACTGCTAGAAGAAAATATGGAAATGCTACATGAAATGGGAGCAGGCAGTGCTTTTTAGAATGAGACCTCAAATGCATAGCAAATAAAGCAACAATACAGAAAAGGAACTACATCAAACTAAAAAGCTTCTGCACAGCAAGGGACACTGTCAACAAAGAGAAGAGAAAACCTACAGAATGAGAGAAAGTGTTTGCAAACTACACATCAGACAAGGGGCTAATATCCGGAACATGTAAGGAAATCAAATAGCAAAAAAACAAGTAAACTGATTTAAAAACAGTCAAAGACCTGGATAGACATTTCTCTAAAGAAGACATAATACAAATGGCCAATAAGCACATGAATAAATGCTCAAAATATTTAAAAATATTTTTAGTATTTCAAAATTTCACCTATATCAAAATGACTTTATGAATGTACCACAAGTTCTTTTAAATGTTTAAAGTTGTTTTTATTTATACATCTTTATGAAGTACAGAGTTGACCATCAGTATTTGTGTAGAACATGTGATGATGAAAGTAATATTACCAGTATGTTCATCACTACAAATCAAATTACTTTTAGGATGACTGGATAAGGTAAATGTAGTATACGTACAAGTTTTAAAGCAGCTTATGACATGCTGTTATATATCTCTTTGATTTCTACAATTGTTGAAATGTCTGCAAAATGCATATTTTTATGAACATTATTTCACGATTCATAAAAATTCCTAGAAATGTAATTTCAAGGAAATAGGACATACTCATCTAGAACTTCTGTGTAAATTTACCAAGGCATCATCTATGAA